TATGTGTGTCATCCTTCCGCAGGGGCCTTGTCCATCTGCGCGATCGTGTGACCGAAATCGATTGCACCATGCTGCCCTGGCCCAGCGGCCAGCTCCAAAAAGGAGCTAGCGTCAGTAAGCCGCATTCAGGTTCCGTTCCCCGTATCTGCGGCGTGGCGGTCTGATGTGTTTACCTACTGGGCTAGCTCCTATCACAGGAGTACAAAGGGCAGCCCTTCTGCTTGAAGGGCTGAGCCTAGTAGGCCGTGTGTGGTGTGGCATACTCTGCCTGCCTCACCCTTCCACACGACCAGCCGCCTGCTTACGGGTTGGACAGGGGCGCCATCCGCTAGGTTTCAAGTGTCGGGCATACAAGGCCATCGGTGCGGAATCAAACCCTGCACGCGTACACAAAAGATAAGCACTTTTAGGCGGCCTCTAATCCCCCGCGCCGCGGCCGCAAACCCAACGCTGCCTTTAGTTTTGGACTATTTAGGCCCTGAATCACGTGGCTGTGTCATTATTTTAAGTATGATAGGTTTAGATTTAGTACTCCAACACGCCCCTGCGGCCTCAGCAAAAGCGAAGCGCCGCTGATTACCACCGTCATTTCCAAATGCTGTCACACATCCAGTTTTAAGCTTTAAGAAAAGTCTGAGCCTATGCGGCCTCAACAAAAGCCAAGCACCGCCGGTTACCACCGTCATTTCCGGATGTTGTCACACATCCGGTTTTCAGTTTCAAGAAACGTTTAAGCCTCTCAGTCGTAGGTCAGGTCTGAATAAACTTCCAGCAAACGCTTCAGCCTCATCAAGTGACAAGTTTCCACGAAAAACGGACAGCGTCCGACATTCAACATACCGAGCAGATACCCTTGTAAGGGTTTCTGCACCAACATCGCCCCTTGGATGACACTCTTCTGTGGCAGTGGGTGAGAGACGAGTGTGCAGAAAGTGAGGAAAAAAAGGAGACTTGTAGTGTAGACTCTAGCAGGGAACTAGCATAGTGGTGACATCATAGTGTAGTGTTGACTCTAGCAGGGAACTAGCATAGTGGTGGCATCATAGTGAAGGGATACTACATTGTTGTTGCATTGAGTGCTGGAGGCGAGAACTAGGGCTTTCATTGTCAAAAGACTTCAGAGTTGTCCAACCTTTGCTAAGCTCTCCGCTTATTAATTCTGCTTTCAATCTGGTTTATGCACGGTTGGTCTTCTTTCTTTTCGAATTTGAACCATTTTTTTTATTCATGCATGTCATCCTTGCACACAGGGGCCATGCTAATCGTCTCTGTACTGTAGCAATTTAAACAGTATTCTTCAAAAATACTGTATTCTATTATTCTCTTCTTTCTTTTTTTTCCCTTTTTTTAGAGGCCCCTTCTATTCTGCTGGGCAGCAGTCCGGTTACTTATCCCCGACAAGGCTGACAAGCATGTTTGTACAAACACAATGGGGGAGAAAAGAAGATAGGAAGGTCAGCCTAACCCTTGCGGCACTAGCCGCCTGAGCAAGGGGGGGGCAGCTTCTGTGCAACCCCCCCTGGAACCTTCGTCCCTCCACGATGTATTGCCCTACTGGCCGTGAGGCTTACTAGCAGCACCCGGTCACACAGTATGGTAATCCCCGGGGCAGTGGTGCGGGGTGGAGTTCAGGGCTGTCCCTGAGGCCGCTTGGCAATCATTAACTGTTTGCATGTCAATCCGGCCTTGCCTAGCATCTGCCCACTGGAATGCTACGACAATCTACGTCACACTTCCAGCCTATAGTATTCCTATGTAAGCCCTTAGCAGCCTCTACCGTCCCTAAGGCACTTACAGCCTGTCGTGTTCCTATGTCAGCCTTTCACAACCTTTACCATCCTTAAGGCCCCAAATACTGTATTCTCACATGCTGATCCATCAAAAAAGGTGTTTTCTCCTGTGTAGGGATCCAGGCCGCCCGGGTGACCGGCAGGGGGGGAGGTCCCGGGCGGCCTGGCCGGGCAGGGCACCCGGTTGGGGGCCGGGCCCCCCCAGCGCACTCACCTGTCGGGGGATTTCGGACCCCCTTTCGGACCCCCTTTGTGTGTGTGTGTGTGTGTGCGTGTGTGTGTGTGTGAGAGAGAGAGAGATGTGTTCGAATCATACTTGCAGCGCGTCTCATGCGCAGGGTGCCGCACGCACATGCACGCACGCACAAGTGATGCGGCGCATTAAAAAAGTAGAAAAAACAAAAATGTCCTAGTTGTATCCAGCCTCTTTTCGGAAGGATCCCTACAGCATATTAGCTAGGACCCGACGTCATGCAGAGCTACCTTCAAACTTGTACTCCCTGGGGGAGGGCAGAGAATATATAGTCTGGATTCGAATTCAGGTCTGTGCATGTTGGTTATGGGTCACTATTTCCCTGTTTTCTCGCTTTTCTTTTCTTTTCTCATTTTTCTTTTCTTAGGAATACGTGCAGTGGCCCTAAGGGCCTTTACTCACCAAATGCACAAAAGACAAAACATATGGTGGCGTAT